GAACTTTGCTATATCAGAATTTACGAATTGGAGTTAAAATCTGTTGCTAAATGGGTACAATAGTTTACATATTTTGTTATTCTGAACTTTATATATTATTGATATCCCCAAACTACACAAAACGTCTCGAAATTCTTGCTGATGCCGAACCCAAAATTACGAGAGCCTACAAATAATATTGATTTTTAAATAAATGTCCATTCAGCAAAAACTTGGAAATCTTACAAGTATTATATATGTAATTCCGCGAATTTTGAAAAATACCGGAAAGGGTTCAAAAAATAAACATGATACATTTTCAAAGCTCTGCATTTATAAGAAATAGTCTGCACAATTTGACTCACATTTTTGTTTTTACTTGCTTGAATTATAAACCAGAAACAACTGTTTTGTAAATTCTGATAGTGCGTCATTGGGCAAAGAGATTTTCCCATTCAGAGCAAACGTGTATTAGCAAGTATTATTTATATATACTTAAAATACATTAAGTCTAAAATAGTCTAGTAACGACAGAATAATCTGATGTTGATAGCTGATTTCTTTAAGTACAGCATTTTAAAAAAGAAAGGAGTAAATATCTCTCTATTGGAGTGTGCCTTATCTTGAACACTTTTAATTGTATCAGTCTGCTGATTGTGTTGCAATTTAAGCTAATAAAAATATAAGGTTAGTTCTCACACTCATAAGAATGGGTTTGGCTTAACCTATATGTATACAACTTTAATCACCTTTATGTACACAATATAACTCATCCAGAAATCGCAGCTAATCGGAGTGTAGCTACCTGACAGGTAAGCAAAGGCGATAAGAAATGGCGCCTTTTGATTAGGCTTAATCGAATTTCGAAGGGATCCATAAACCCGTTCGAGTTAATTACCAATTAATCGTTTAAAATGAACTACCCCCCTAGTCTGCACTTGTAATGAGCCCTTATCAGCAGGCATCTAAGCGGTTTTCGGTGATTTCTTAAGCACCTTAAATTGCCTTCGATTATCTCGATTAGGTCAGCAGTTATCCCACCCATAAGTCGAAAGTCGGCTCCCCAGCGTGACCAAATATTTAGCTTCTGCTGACCTTATCACTCAGTCTGCCCGCAATGATGATGAGTCGTCTGTAACTGTATCTGTATCTGTATCAGGCGAATTAAGTGGGTATTTTCCGAATGCGAATGCCCGCACAAAGTCAAACAAGACGGGTATAGGTTGTCTTTTGTATAGAGATATATCAGTTCGGCGCGTGATCCACGTCCAAAGTTCTGTGAAGTGCTTTGGAGTACTAAGTACTGGCGTGACGACGTTGGCTTAGATTTAAGATAGGCCCCGAAATATGTGTTGGGGTTTCTCAATTAGATATGACGAAAATCCCCCAGTTTTATGGTGTTGCATAGAGAGTATAACTCCAGTTTTACGACTTCTTTGTAAGGGTGAATCATAGTGCGGGGTTCTTAATTGTGAAAGTAAGGTATTTAAAAGAACAATCCCCAGATTTCGTATGATTATCTTTGACAGGATGAAGCCAATTGACAGTTTTGACCGCTTGTGCCTCTCATTCAAACCCGAATCTACATTTATCTGGAAAATACTCAAGCACATCTGCCTATCTTCCAATCACCACTTCCCCTGGCCTGAGAACCCGACCATTGTAAATCATAAACGCAACAGGCCGCCTTGTAATTTAGCGATCCCAGAGTATTATCACTAGCACATTGTCTATACCATCTTATCCGCTCAAAACGATCCGAACAATTGCAAGGTAAAAAGCAGAAACAGAATGTGGGATCAACTGACAAGACGTGCCTTTTGGGTGCTATCGGAATACGGATATGTGGATCAGTACTATATATGGCGATAAGTACAAGAATCCAATTAATAGCGCCTCCGATTTGAGTCAGTTTTTGGAGTAGGGTGATTCACACACGGGTAGTTAAATAACTTTGATTGGCTTTCAGTGAGTCACAAGGGTGATATGTAATATTTTTGATAGTAATTTACCTATTAGGGTGAAGGTGATAAAATGCATTTTATTTTACGGTTTACTTTCGTCAAAAATATATTTAAAAAAACAAACACTTTGTTTATGGGTTATAATCACTTAGAGTGCACTGAGAACTTTTTTTGTATTTTGTTTATTATATTTAGAAGAGACTGCCAGGCAGGACACTGAACCTTTGCGGTCTCGAATCGAACTCCATCGGTTTGGAGCGGCACGCGTCTTTTATAACGGAACCCCTGGGCCCAGAACAAGAACGGAACCCAACGGCGGTCAGGCACAGAATGAAAAGCGGTACGAGCATCGGCAATGTGCACACGCACACACTCGCGAATAGCCAAAGCACACCCACACACCCACACGCGGACACCGCTGCACTCACACACTGTCACAATTGAACACTGAATTATGGCAAACGTTTTTATGTGCTCTTTATTTCGTTGTTGTTGTTGTTGTAGTTGTTTGTTTATTTCGTGGGTTTTCGGCTTTTATCTTTCCGTTTTCCCGATTTTTGTCAACCGAAAATGAGCGGACTTAAGCCGAAGGTGAAAATTGCAATTGCCGAACTGCGCCGTCGACGTCGCGGCTTAGAAGCTGATTAATTGATAAGCAGGCTGAGAAATGCTAAACGAACGGTAATTGCCAGCTGAGCGAGAGCGGGCAGCACACGACTCTCTATCTCCTCCTTCTCCTTCTCCTCCCACACTCGCGAAAAACCACACTGAGAGAAATGAGATCACTTTGTTGATGTATACGGGAAACAATACGATCTTAAAAATGGACTTAAAAAATCAACAGGTATTAATAATTTATCCAAAATGAATATCATATTTTTCCAAATCATGGTGCTTTTAAGCTTCTACCAAAATAAAATATTTCTTTAAATGATCTTGGTATAAACGTTTAATACTTACAGATTTTGTTCCGGGTCTCAAACCTTTTATGACTTATAAAAGGATTAATACGGAAGTATTGAATTTTCCTATCCCAATCAATGAGTATTTGTTAGGAAATGTAATTTTATTAGTTGTAGACTTTTGTGTTTAACAAAAATTAGCATTCCAAATGTTTTTTGTACCATTTAATAATTATTTACCAGATCAAATTCTTTTGTTTTATACGAAGCTAAATGCAAACGCAAGTTTTTCAGGTGCTAATGATCTTGTAAGGCTCTTAAAGTAAAAATACTATTATGGGTTTATTAGCATCCCAATTATGTAGAAAACATCCGCAATATTGCATATTCCAAGAGATGATCTAAGTCGTCAATAAACATTTGTTGTATCCAGCTCAGATATATATATTTTAAGATATATCTTAGCTATAGGTATAAATATTTAAAATTGTTTTTAGTGCACTTGGCAGAGAGGACGTCGAGAGGAAGTGACGTATCTGTCAAGATCGAGATTGTCACATTTTGGCAAATAAATTTCAGTTGATCTGCTCGGTTAAAATTAGAATTAAAATTAATTCAGTGCCCCGAAGTGACCAATTGTTGCACCCGTGCAATTCTCGGATCGGAGAGAACAGACAAATGATAATGATGATGCCAATTGAGCGGGACAAATTCAAATTCTAGAGTGCGAGCGAGATGGCAAGCAGAGGCTGTCGTCGCGGATGCGATTTGATTTTATTTTAGCCTTTTGTTGACCATGTCGACGTCATTAAAGTGCAGTTAAATGTGCCAAAAGGCAGAACAAAAGTCAATGTCAAACGGCAGCTGCTCTCATTTTCCTAGAGAGTTAAATAAGGGTGAAAAAACGCAGGGGAAAGGGGAGGAGAGGCTGGGGAAAGCGGTTTTGGGCGAGGGAAAATCAAAATGCATTTCCGCAACAAATCGCCGCTTGACAGTAATTACCGTCAACACGAGCGGTAATTTATGACTATCGAATTGCGAATCTTGATACCCTGTAGCCGTGAAGTTGTCGGCTTTATAATGGAATTGTCTTTTAATGTCAGGAAAATGGGGAATATTAGGCTTACAGGGTGTTGTGGCTGCACAGACATATGATTTCCCAACCATATAAAGGATTTAATGGTGACCATTTAAAGGACTGGCCATGAATTTGTTGCAATTTGCTGGCACAAATACCATAATGGCATGCGATTAGCATACTTGGTAGTGGTTCTTATGCTATTTTAAAACTTAACAGCCTTTTTAATTCCTTAATATTCTTTAAAAAAATTAAATAATTTTAATTTACGTAGTACATTTATAGAAAATAGCAAACAAATTGTGAAAAATATTAATGAATTCTGTTTCAGCTGCATAATTATATTTTTAAATGGTGCTATAAACCTAAATTTAAGTTTTTTATTTATAGAAAATATGAAACAAAATGTAAAATGTATTTAAAAATCAGTGTTAAGCCTGCTGTCCGATTTGAAATAGCTGAAAATGGCTTTATAAATAGAATGCACTCCACCTTTATCGCCCACTCACCATCATGTGCATTTGATGAATGGAAGGGCAAAAAAAAAAATAATAGCAAATTCAACAAGCGTGTTTACAAAAGGCGCTAGCGACGTCACGCGATTGCGGGTCATCAAAAGGGGCAAAGAAATGGTTAGTAAACACCGCATGTGACAATTTGCGCGCACTGGTGACCCCAATAGTCGCTGCAATTACAAATACAATTACTTTAACGCGAAACGTTGTAGCGGTCAATTCCACAAATTAAAATCGAATCGAATCAATTGAAGAGATTCAAACATGTGATTCAATCAGCTGATGGGCTAGCAATTCAATTAGGTCGTTAAAAGCCAAAGGCAAACGAAGTGAGCAGTCCATCGGGACAAGTCAATGAATCAATTTAAATTTAAATTGAAAATGGAATGCCTCCTATCAGCAAATCAAATTTTAAAAAGTAACCGCTTTGCGCGCCCAAAATGCAACCCTGTCCATTGTGAGCCAGCCAGCTTTCGTCACTCTGGCAACGCCACCCCAGCTGTCACTTGGCAGCCTTGCCCCATCGTCTGTCAAATATTAGTTTCTCCCAGTTTTCAAGCAATCCCTGTGTTACCCAGCACAAGTCATTTATCAAAAAATTAGTTTTTCATTTTTACAAGTCCTTTGCCGTGGGCCACATAGCCCGATCCCCAGCTAAACCAACAAAAGTGACCAGCAACGCGCGCCGATTGCGTCCGGGTGGCAACTCCGCAGAACATTGCCGAGCTGCGAAAGTGTGCAAAAGCAAAACGAAGAGAACGCAGCGCAGCCGAAAAAAAATTGAAGCAGCACTGCACGCGATATATTTTGTATTTTCAAAGGTTAAAGCCGCATTCAAAGGCATCCGCCGAGCGCAAACGAAGTGCAAAAGTGCCGGCCAGCCGTAAGTTTTGTAATATTTGCAGCCATTTGTGTATTACAGCCGCAAAAAGCGCTGGGAAAATTTTGCAAGAACCGAAAAAAAACGAAAAAATTTTGCACATCGTCGTCGGCGGCGGCGACGTCAGCGGCGGCAGCGACGCCCGCTCCTCTGCCGGCAGCGGAGGCGACGCAGCAGCAAAAGGGAGCAGCTGAAAGAGGAAAAACGATGAAATACAAAAGGAAAACGAACAAGCTGATGGATTTTCTCTGAAAGAAATACGAAAAGCGGAAGCAAGTGTGGAAATTATGTGTAAATTCGATATGTAAATTCGGCATGTGCCGTTTCTTAGTGTGCGTGAAATTCTTATTGGAAAAGCGTGCTCATCAGTGTGAACGAACGAGCGAAACATTTCGGCGGCGAGAGAGAGAGTGAGAAAAAGAGAGGAGAGGAAGAGAGCGCGCACACGCTTGGCCAAGGCTGTGTGTGTGTGTGTGCGGCGGCGGCGGACACACACACGCAGAGGGAAAGACAAAGAAGAAGAGGAAGCACTACGCTGCTGCGCTGCCGGCAAACTCGCTGCCGCCGTCAACGTCGCTGCCAGCGTCGCAGCTGGCTGCATTTTCGTGTTTAGCCAGGAATTTTGGCCCCCAAAATAACTTCAAAATTTTCTTCTATTTCTTTTTGATTGCCAGTGCGTCAAAATATATATTCTCCCCCTGCCGACAGACAAAACAACAAAAATCTAGAAAACAAAACCATTCCATATTTTATTGCTTTGCAGGCAACATTTAAAAAGCAGCCGCAAAGCAAAAGACTGATTTGATTACAAGGAATTAAGAGCAGGAACGCGAGGATTCTGCCACTGCACACTGAATTGTGGGTACATATCGGCTAGTTAACCATCGTATCTCTTATCCTATTAATACCTCTTTATAATAGGAAGCCCCAGATAACACGGCAAACTGCAGTCGACGGGGAAAAGTAGGGAGTTGAAGGCTGGGCAGCAGCAGCAGGAGGGACGGACGGCGAAGAACCACCAGATTCAGAATCAGGAATCCAGAGGCCACAACCAAAACAAAGCGGAGAAACCAGGAGGCACTGCGTCCGGCAACATGGAAGATCTTCTCGTGGAAGTTCGGCTCGACAATGGCGCCTACTACAAGGTGAGTTGATGGACTAAAAAAGAGGTGAAGAGGAAGAAAGGATTCCTTCTAAAGAGAGAGCAAGAGGGGTTGGAAAATGAAAAAAATGAAAAAACAGGCAGGGAGTTGGGGCAGCAGCTGCCTCAGTTTCTAATTTCGTGGATTTTAGCTTTATTTCTATAAATAAACAGAAACATTTTGAGTGGAGTCTCGACATCATCGCCACCACCACCACTACCACCATCATCACCACCACTACTATACCAACACCAACGCACTCACGCACACTGCGTTGTGGGGGTGCCGACGTCGACGTCAACGGCGACGCTAGCTGCGCTGCTTACTGCACTGCCCACTGACGTCGGCGGATATTCGTATTTGTTGTTTTGGTGATTTCCCTTTCTAAACGTTGCAATTTGCTAAGATAAGAGCCGATTAACCATCATAATTCGCGGAAAAGTGACTGCTGATTAGATTACAGCTTTATGGTTTTTTTAAATGTATTTCCATTCATAAAGTAAGTCTATCTATGATGACTGCCTTCATCTCATCTTCAAAGTTTCTTTGTGTAAACCATTTGTAAATATTAAATTTTAAAACAAAGTACTTAGCAAAAACTGTTGATTTGTGAAATATCCATCAAAACTTATCCGGTGGTTTCATGTTTATATTTTACTTCTCATTTTGCGCCTTTTACTGAACAGAGTTGATCAATACAATTATATTAAATATGGATTGTTTAAACTTAATTGGCCAACAAGTGATTATTTTTAATGGTTTGATAAAAGTGTATGGTACTATTTTATTTAGAAATTAATTGTGTATAATTAAAGCTCAAAAGTTTGCATTAAAATTGTATTATATTATAAGACCATAATTTACAAGCGTGATAAAATTACCCTGTTTGTGCTTAAATGGTTCATAGAAAGTTATAATCTTTGCAATCTGGTTTATAACATTTTTTAAAAATATTGCTAGCGTTAGCCATAGATAAACTACAGTTTATGTTAATACTTCCCTATTCCTAAATTCTAGCTGTAAAAACTTTTCCATAGCATTTATTCCATACTTCTTGTATTGAAATACAATACCCTAACTTTAAAATTAGTTATATATTTTAATTTATCTTATTTCACGAGGCCATTGCTTCTATCAAATCACTTTGATCCTTGTATTATCCCATTTCATTCGCGGAACCTTCTGGAAAACTGATAAACTGCCGAAGAATACTTCGCATAGCGTTGACTTCGATTACGGATCCCATAAACAAACCCAGTGCAGTTCATAAACACAATAAACAAACTCGCTAGGGCGACTTCCCTGATGATGATGATTCAGCAGTCGGCTGTTTGCATTTCGGATAAGGTTCTACGACTACTCGCTTATCGGTGATATACGGTTCCCGCATCTCCCATCCCCCAGTGCTTTTGCATTTCTCGATTTCACATTGTTTGTTGGGCATTCCGGGGTGGGGCGTTAATAAAAATATAATACATATATACTTAAGTTTAGAGCTGAATGGGGAATATCGCAGACACTGGCCACATTAATGACACACATTCTTCTCTCTACTTCTATGCCCCCCGATGCTGCTGTGCTGGCCCTGTCAATGCTCTTGTATTTCATCCGATTGCTGCCTGCCTTTGCCGCCAACAAAACCCAACAACTGCCACAACTATGAACTGAAAACTACGACAACAACCACAGGGCCAGGTGACATCTGTCGGCGATGATGGCATCTTTGTGGATGTGGACGGGTAAGTTTTGCCAAACAAACAAATCTGCGAACAGGGCAAACAACTTTTAGAACGTATTTTCTAACTAATTTGCAACGATTAATACAATCAGAGCAGCAGCAGCAGCAACAACAAAAACAACAACCACTGACGCGACTTCTTGGCATCCAAATTCGAAATTAGAGATGCTGGGCACGCATCATTTATGTCGTCCGTCCGCCATCAACTTGCCACCGAAAATCCCCTCCTGCGGATTCTCTAATTTGGCGCAATTTGTTAAACGCCAGTGGTGCCGCTGCAGTTCCTCAGCAAAATAAAATGGGAAAAGAAAAGAAAATAAAACTGCCGACTGACGGACTGACCAACGCCATCCAAACTGTCCGCCCCACTGACTTGGGAACTTCCCCGATCCCAGAGGCAATCTTTCCGAGGCGGAGCAGTGGTAGTGGTGGTGGTGGTGGAGCAGGGGATGGCTTCCATTGCTGCCAAAGCTGTCAAGTGCGAACGACAAATGCCACTAAGCAGCGGCGCTGACACGGCGGCCAGCGTCAAAGGCGCGACTATTTTTAACCGCGGAAAGAAACCATTTATATTTATTTATTCATTTCCAATTTGGTTATGACGCTCTGATGGATCGTCTTGTGACTGAAATTCTTCTAATTGTGGGTGTAGCCCAAGTGTCATGATATTAAACTTGTTTAATTTCATGAGATTTAATGAGGTTATTTTTTATACAACGTTTTCGTTCCCACCTATTTTAGTTAATTAGTTATCGGTGAACTAAATTTAAAATATGCGATTCACCTTTCTGCCTTATGGGAGTATTGATTTATTATTATAGCCTAACAATTTGATTTGACTAATGGTTTCTTGAAGTGAAAATTTAGTTGTCATTGTCTATTTTTAAAAAATGAAAGGTGAAAGCCATAAAAACAGCCTATTTTCAGTTTCTAGATAATTTCAAAAATAATTTTTCTTCAAATCTTTTGAAAAGAGTATAAAATTGTCGTTTAGCAATGTTTAATTGCTACCGTTTTATGCTTTGTTTTGCTGCATTTCTTGTGTGGTTTTTGGAACAAAAGTTTTTTGGTTTTTAATTTAATTTATCTTCCATCTCACATACCGAGATTCACTTGAGCTAAGCAGCTGAATCTAAATTTAGTTGCACCACTATCCTGTCCGACTGTGTGGCATTTCCGAACTGTGTTTCTGGGCGGGATTCGGAATGGGTTTAGCAATAGAGGAGTGGGTATGATGGGTCTGCCGAGGCACCCCCACAATGGTTGTTGTTGTTCTGGTAACTTGGCCCTCTGCCAGCGGAGCAGCTGCAGCACAGCAGCCGAATCTGCAAACACCTGTCCGCAGACTTGTATGCAAAAAAAAACAAGTGCACCTTAATTAGTTAACTCTACCTTTCTCCGCACACGCATTGTTGCAGTGTGCCCGAGGTGATGAAATATCCATTTGTGAACGTCCGCCTGCCGCCCGAGGAAACCGTGGAGGTGGCCGCTCCGATCTTCGAGGAGGGCATGGAGGTGGAGGTCTTCACGCGCACGAATGAGCGCGAAACCTGCGGCTGGTGGGTGGCCATCATCAAAATGCTCAAAGCGGACATCTGCGCGGTCGCGTACATCGGCTTCGAGACGCCCTACACCGAAATCTGCGAACTGGGCCGCCTGCGCGCCAAGAACTCGAATCCGCCAATTACAGCCAAGTCCTTCTACCAGTTCACGCTGCCCGTTCCCGAGGAGTTGCGCGAAGAGTAAGTGCATCTCATATTATACCCCTAAATGCCTACGTATATCATGTTCAATTTATGTACCTATAGAGCCCAGAAGGATGGCATACACAAGGAGTTTCAGCGCACAATCGATGCCGGCGTCTGCAACTACAATCGCGATCTGGACGCCCTGATCGTCATCTCCAAGTGGGAGCACACTCAGAAGCGCGCTAGTATGCTCAAGGATATGCATTTTCGTAATCTCTCACAGAAGGTGTGGATCTGAATTATGGAATTTATGCTATTTTGTATCTAAATGTTATTTGATCTAACAGGTTATGCTGTTGAAAAGGACTGAAGAAGCTGCCCGTCAGCTCGAAACGACTAAACTGATGAGCCGTGGGTAAGTAAAATCCATAAAAGACTGATACAAACGAGGCTCTACATGTTTTATTTGTAAATTCATTTGATCATCATCATATATCAGGCACACAGAAATTATTTATCAGCTCTCTGATTAAATTAAATTGAAAATACCATAACCTCTTTGCAGAAACTACGTCGAGGAGTTCCGTGTGCGTGACGATCTCATGGGCCTGGCCATCGGCTCGCATGGCTCGAATATTCAAGCGGCACGCACGCTGGTCGGCGTCACCAACATCGAGCTGGAGGAGAAGTCCTGCACATTTAAGATCAGCGGCGAGACCGAGGAGTCTGTGCAGCGTGCCCGCGCCATGCTCGAATACGCCGAGGAGTTCTTCCAGGTGCCCAGGGAGCTGGTGGGCAAGGTGATCGGCAAGAATGGCCGCATTATCCAGGAAATTGTGGACAAGAGTGGCGTGTTTCGAATCAAGGTGAGTGCTGTGAGTATTGTACGCTAAACGCGGGCCAGTCCTAATCTGTTTCGGTCAGATCGCTGGCGACGACGAGCAGGATCAGAACATCCCACGCGAGCTGGCGCATGTACCCTTTGTGTTCATTGGCACCGTGGAGAGCATTGCGAATGCCAAAGTGCTGTTGGAGTATCATCTGTCGCATCTGAAGGTGAGTTTGGATCAGTCATAAGATGCTCGAAACTAATCCCTACGTTTACAATATGCTCTTAGGAAGTGGAACAGCTGCGCCAGGAGAAGCTGGAGATCGATCAGCAGCTTCGCGCCATCCAGGAATCCTCCATGGGCTCCACACAGAGCTTCCCAGTGACGCGGCGCTCGGAGCGCGGCTACAGCAGCGACATCGAGTCCGTGCGCTCCATGCGTGGCGGCGGAGGCGGCCAGCGTGGCCGTGGGCGCGGACGTGGCGGCGGTGGTCCTGGCGGCGGCAACGGGCTGAACCAGCGCTACCACAACAATCGCCGCGACGAGGATGACTACAACTCGCGGGGTGACCATCAGCGCGACCAGCAGCGTGGCTACAACGATCGCGGCAATGGCGACAACACCGGCAACTATCGCGGCGGCGGTGGAGGAGCTGGTGGCCCAGGCGGTGCCGGCAACAACAGGCGCGGCGGAGTCAACCGCCGGCCGCCACGCAACGAGCAGCAGAACCAGAACGGCAGGGACTATCAGCTCCACAACCACACCGCCGAGGAGGTGCGGGAGACCCGCGAAGTGAGCAGCGTGGAGAGAGGTGAGTCCGTGAATCATGCTGCCAATTAACCAATTAGTTGAACCAATTTATTTCGCGCGCTCAAACAAGATACAAAGTGAATACTCGATCCCCCCTCCCCCTCAATGGACATCATGTGTGTGTGGGGTCAAGAACACGAGAATCTGTACAGCAAGTTTATTAGTTTTTAAAGAGTATTACGTTAAGGACTGTTTCCTCATTTTCCTATATATTTAGGCCTCTGATTAAAATAAATTAAATGACATCTTAGTTTTTCGTGTAACTTATCATAATAAACTTATTAAGAAATGGAAATAATTCACGCACATTTTTTAATTATTATTTTTATCATCGCTGTCAGCTAAAGTGGAATTGGGTTTGTGTGACACACTGAAAAGCGAAAAAATAAATTCTTTCCCCCTTTCAACATCTATATTATTTTATTCCAATTGATTTATTAGGAAATGCTTAGTGAAACTCCTGAGACTAGCAGAAAAGCGCGTAATAAATATATAATTATCATTTTTAAATTGGAATATATGGAATACTAATTTTGGTGTGACACAAGGACGTTTGTGTTGTGGAAGTTGAAACCATTTTGAACTGTTCTCGTAGCTGATGCCTGAACCATTATCCTCCTCTCCACAGCGGACAGTAACTCATCCTACGAGGGAAGCTCGCGGAGGCGCAGAAGGCAGAAGAACAACAATGGACCCAGTAACAGTGAGTATAATTAATATTGCTGATGCTGAAAGGATTGCCTTACCTGCAAATGTATACCTTTTCAATTATAAAGCAAATGGAGCGGTGGCCAACAACAACAACAAACCCCAGTCGGCGCAGCAGCCACCACAGCAGCAGCAGCAGCAACAACAGCAACAGCAGCCGCCGGCGCCTGTGAACAAGGCGGCACTGAATGCCGGAGATGCCAGCAAACAGAACAGCGGCAATGCGAACGCCGCTGGCGGTGCGAGCAAGCCGAAGGACGCCTCACGCAACGGCGACAAGCAGCAGGCGGGCACACAGCAGCCACAGCAGCAGCAGCAACAGGCATCGCAGGTGCAGCAGCAACAGCAGGCGCCACAGCAGCAGCAGCAGCCGAAACCGCGACGCAACAACAAGAATCGCAGCAACAACCACACAGACCAGCCATCCGGACAGCAGCAGCTGACGGAGAATGTCAAGAAGGAGGGCCTGGTCAATGGCACGTCCTAAGCCCAACGGGCCAAGCGGTAGCAGCAGCACCAGCAGCAACAACCAACAACCAACAACAGATGGGATGAACAACATGAACACAAATTGCACATCGTTCAACGGAGTAACAATGTTGTATGCGCAGCGGGGGCAGTTTAATATTCATGTTGATGATGTCGTTGAATATAGCCGCCACATAACACAACAACAACAAACACCAACCACAACAACATCAACACATCCGAGCAACAACAGACACTAAAACAACATCTTCAGCCAAGAACAGCAGCCACTAACAACTTGTTTGAGAAACTATATGAGTAACTAAAAAAAGGAAACGAAAAATTAAAATACATGAAATATGTAACAAATGTAAAAGCATATACTAACACCCACAAGGATACACTCATAAACACACACACACACACACACAGTTCGAATTATACACAAAAAGAAAAAAAGAATAAAAGAAAATTCATGCCTAGGCTTATAATTTGAATTGAAACTAAAAAGCTTCAATAACAATCAAAATGAATTATATTTATGTATAAAACAAATTCAAAGGCAATTATTAACAAGCAAAACGAACGAATCGAAAGGGAAACATTGAATATGTAAACTAAAACTAAAACTTTAATTCTAATCCCGGCAATTAGCGTAGTTTTTCGAAAAGAAAATCTAAAGAAAACCTGGCGAAACGGGCGCTTCTAAAGCGCCCCTTGCGTCGACTTGAAAAGTTTCTAGTTATATGCATATTATAATAAAACGAGAATAATATAATTGCATTTTTTGTTTTGGTTAAATTAATTTTAATTGAGTCTGTCATGTGTTTTGTGTATAATTCGTGCATGCAACAACTTAATGGCCTAGCAGGTTTTTCAATTTAACCATCATTTTTGTATTATTATTGTTTAGTTTACCATTGTAAATGCCAGGGCGCGTTTAGAAGTTGCTTATAAAATTCAACAAAGTAAACGAACGCGGCTCCAGACAAAAGCCAGGATGAACAGGTGGTTTGTCCTGGGCTTTTGCAGCGTTTCATTGTTTATTTTGTTCGTTACAACATGGAAATCCTCTCTTATTTGTATAATGTTGTATTTATTTACTATTATTAACACATCCCCACATATACCACACTCACCCGCATACTCCATAAAAACTACACTCGTATCACAACTCCCACACACACGCTCGCTCATACAAACAAGAAGGGAAACGCATTGAATTTGATTTTGTTTTATAAATATATAATTTACTTCGCCAAACCTACAAAGCGTATACTAACTTAGTCCTCTATTAAATACTCTTAAATTATTTAAAACAAGTAACGTTCAGAGTCGAGCGCATTGAACACATCATCGAGAAATGCGAATCATTCGAATGAAACCATAATAAAAGCCCCCCAACTATGGATTATAAATACAATGTAAAGCCACCATAAACCATCTAAGAACAAACAACATGAAGCAAAACAGAACAATTCTTCTCTCTTATTTGGAAGAACAGTGTCAATAATATGTAAGAAAGCAAACTACACATTTTAACATACATTGAAGATGAAGATGGAGATAAAGATAATGGTACCGATAAAGATAAATCTAAATAATGTTGTGTAATTCAAATTAAATAAAAACAAAAATCCAACAAAAAGAAAACTGCATAAAAACATAAACGTAATAATATAAATATAATGAGAAAAATGTGCGATTTAAATTTATTATTTATATAAAGATGAACTTATAAAGAATAGAAATATAGCAAGTAAATTTTATTAATTTAAAATTTATATATATAAACAAACAAACCATCAAACTAAAGACGTTCGAATTTATTTTTTTCCCAAATGTAACCTATACATTTTACTATCCTCTTTTATGTAGGGGTGATCATGTTCCAAGCAAGGATCGGTTTAAAATAGTAAGCGGGATGATCTATATATTATATAATTTATTTAGCTACAACTACGAACCAATAATTTTCTTGTTAGTTACGTTGAGGTGTATTTTTACGCCTTAAAATGAGTGTATGTGAACCATTTTTCATTTTATTTTGGATGTGGAAGGCAGCTTTCTTTCTTTGCTTCTTAGTAGTGCCATCTGGTAAAAGATGTGAAAATAAATACTTTCCCAGACCGATGACGAACTCAATTGGGATGGTACATCTTAATAGGTCTACTTTATTTTTTTTTAATATTTCATATTTATTTGAAGTAGTTACATCTGGAAAAGCTGTTGTGAATCACGCTGTGATTTAGATGGATTCAAAGTTCTTCTAGATATAGGGTCCAGAATCAGTCCTTCCTCTGGGATTTTGAGTATATCCCTCCACCTCCTCCTAAACACCATTATCGTTGCATTAGCCTGTCGCGGCGGCAGTGAAGATAGTGGCTGTGAATTGTCAACGGCAATAATTGGCTACACAACCAGCTAACCACACTGCCAAAGCGCATAGCCAATTGAGGTTACTTGATTGTGGTGGCACTAATTTGGTTAATTCGTTCGTTCTCTTGATGATTGATGGATGGACGAAACACAAGGGGAACGGTTATTTTTAAATATTTCGAATAAAAACCGCTTGAATCTCACCATCTTGCGGATGTTTTTTAGAGCGAACTTCAGTTGGTAGAGCTTTTTTGGCGCCACAAGCGCCACCTTCTGGCCAATGTTGGGCGGGGGGGAAACTCGGGGATTTCCCGATATGCTGCTTTTTATGCTACGTTGCGTGTCGTCAAAAGCTTTTTCCGGCGGCAGCGGGGGCGTGGCAAATGTGGGCGGAATCATAGCGCTGTAAAATATGCAATGTTAGCCGTTAGTTTTAAATTTAACCGATTTATATGGGAATATTTTTGGAGTTTTTAAAGTTACCCTCGTATTTAATGGGTCTGTTCTGACTTTACTCCTCTCTAAAGACCTAAATTCCCGCCCCTTTCATTATAAATGATATAAGTACTTGTGAGCACAAGCCAAGTTTAGTTCAAAAGACCTCTGTGGCACAATTGCAATCATTATAATTGGGCCAATTAGAGCCGGAGTGCTCAAGGTCATCGCAAGCTCTACGATGTCGTGGCTTGGAGACCTTGCCGCCCAAGGTTTCATCTCCGTGCTTTCCACAGTTCATCGCTGGGTTGCCCTCAACATGCAAAGTTCCCCAGGCGAAACAATAAAACCACATCATACATATACAGTTCCAAATCTTCATAGAAGATATTCATACTCATGTTTTATTTTATTCTTTATTTAAAAACAGTATCTTACAAATATATATATTTATTATTTAACTTAAAGGTAAACTTATTTAGTTCTATTTTAGTCTTTATAATCAGTTTGAGAAACTCCTCTTGTCACACTATCACAAAAATTGCATATTTCATTTCATATTATTCGCATTTTCTTGCATTCGGGAAGATTGTACGTTCTGGAATGTCGTACCAGATAGTGCATTTACATGCTTCAGAATGTTTCAGTGCAAATGCACTCCTGACACGCAGCCCAAAACCTTTAGAGGATGCATATTATCGTTATATCGTTTATATATATATATATTTTACTGTATAACTGAAACAAAAACTAAAATTATGTTCAGCACGGCGGGACATCGTCGCGTTTTTTTTGTTATTCTGTGGTTCAGCTATGGGAACAGTCAATCGATCTTCGGGTGGCTAATACTGGATTGGATATGACGGAAAACGAAAAACCGAAAACGAGGGGGAGGGGGTACATAACTCCAAAACCAAACAAAGCTCAAACGCATGCAGAACAAAAGTGAAGGTTGGAATGAGACTGGTGGTGGGAAACCGAGTACAATGAACCATGAGCTAAAGAACACGATCCCCAGAAACAGGTGATAAGAGTTAGCAGGTGCCAAGGTGCGCAGCTGATAGTGAGCGGCTATAATCAGCTCGGATCGGGGGATTTATAGGGTATATACTCTATAGGTGGGGCCCCGAGGGGTGTGTATTCGAAGTGGGTCGATGCGGATCGCTGATTGCCCATTGCCGTGCGGTTATACAAGTCGTTTGTGTGTCACCAAATGTCATTCGGCCTGAGTTTTTCCATGTTCTGGCCCATCAGTCAGGGCAATGTAAGCTGGTTTAAAATCGAGGCGGAAACTGAATGAAACTGGCACCCCAGATAAGATAAGCAGGGCGATTATAAGCTGATTGCTCAAAAAGCAAGTAATACAGTGCCGAATTTTGTAAGAACCAGCTGTACTAAAATCATCAAAGCAGTTCCCATTGCTTTCTGGAGCAGAGATTCATTTCTATTCTGGCCAATATATAGAAGCAGTTTGGCCAATGCAGCCTTCAATTTTGACTTGCTTGGCTGCTTTTTACTTGACTCTCGGTGGGTAGGTGTGGCGCATAAACACAAAATAAATCCAAAAACGAGGCCAAAACATTGAGCAGGCATTGGGCCCAAACAAAACAAAGGCAAGAAGTGAAGGAACAATAATTGTAGAACCATTGAATCTCGAGTGGAGCAGCACAAAACTGAATTTTTCGCAATTAAAGCAACCCACTGCGTATACGCGATGTGTCATCTAAATGCAAACATGCACATATGGAGTATAGAGTATGGAATATCTGACAGATAATGTACGGTTTTGAGCTTGTAAAATTCATAATGTGTGTAACCATTTAGTTTTTTAATCGCGTGTTTGTGTTCTGTGCGTTCCAATTTCGAAAGAACAAGAGCTCGGGGAATTAAATAAATTATTGTTCATTTGTGTCGCTGTGTGTGCGCAAGTGTGTTGGTGTATTGATAAATGAAAAGCTAGCTCATGAGCTTAAAAAGCGTTAACTGAATAAAGAAACAAAATGTGCCTCCGTGTGCCCGTCAAATCGGTCGTTTCCATGTGCGTTAAATGGGTTACATGGTCGACCTGGCGGCTGAATGAAAAATTTCTAAAATGCCCCAAAACACCTTCTATCGCCCACCTCCCCCCGCTAAGCTCTGCGCTCCTCTTTATGGCCCACTTAGTGGCTCGGTTATAATTTCATTAGGCAAATGCTGAGCATTTTTCATTAGCACTTCATGAACCGATGGCCCCTCGGTTTCTAGGTTCCCCTCGGATCCCCCCCATTACGTTTACTTTTATCTGGGTCATAAAAGCTGGCACCGCCGGCAAACAGAGTTTCAAAGAAGTTGTCGTCACCGGAAGTGACGCAAAGTGTTACCACACCGAAAAAGAGGGCCATAACGCTACTTAAATAAATTACAGTTTGACTTGGCCGAAAAAGAATCGCTAGAGCCAAAAGAATAAGGTGGAATTTGAAGCTATCGCGGTTAGGTATACAAAAATTGTAAATAAAATTCAATATTTAGTAATATCAGCTTTTTTAGCGACTTATAAAGAGGGGCGTGTTATTGTCTCGCCCGAAAATCATTATTTATATTTTAAATAAAGACTTTTAATAATCCTAAGGCATAACAAATGCAAATGTTATTCTTTCATAGTAATAATTTCAACTTCCCCATGAAACAAACTGACTCTTGAAATCACTATACTACAAAGTAGGGTATTAAAATGAAAAAGTGTTCCCTAACCCATAGGCATAATACATTTGTTTAATTCTTCGTGGCAATAAATTCAAATTTCCTGTGAAACAAACTGACTCTTGAAATCAATAAGCCCCAAAGTAGGGTATCAAAACGAAATAGCTTTCCCCTGCCTTTCAATTCAGCGGGTCGCATGATCAGCCGCCGAAACTGAAAAACACGCACGCTGACTCTGCCACTTATTATCTGCCAAATACACACTCGACTGACTCAGATACAGATACATTCACACATCCATGAAATTTCGTAGGCCCAAGCACGCGGGCACCCGCTAATTTGGAAAACCTATCGCTCGGTGTACGCTGCGTATACGTAATCGTAAGACGAGGAATGCTCGCGATTCGATTCTTTATCTGCAGACGGGGAAACAAAAACAGCTAGACAAGTCCAAAAAAAAAAGATAGAAAGCAGCCCTTG